CCGCGTCCTTCCAGTGGGTGAATGTTCCGTCCCCCGCGCGCGGAACGGAGCGCACCCGAAGGAAGACATTCTTTGAAATTGCTATTTTCTGCTAGAAGCGTTCTTTATGAAAGGCTTCTGGAGGTTCCCTTTACTACCGTAGTTTCACACACGCTATAAAGTGCTATGAGGCATTGTGCTGGATCGGTATCTGGGGCTGGCCGTATCAGCCACATTTTGAAGGAGTTTGAAGGATAAGCTATGTGTAGTCTTGGTGCTTGTTACAGTTCAACGCTGCGAGAGTACCATCAAAGACTCGCACAGTCACAAATTTGAGTCTATTGTCTGCCCCATAACACAGCAATCCTCTCAGAAAAAGGTCAGAATGTGGTCAGACGTGAAGTAGTGCTTATCAAGCTGATCTTTTGCAATTTGTGCAAATTTTCTGAATTTTAGGTTGGCTTCATGTCGAAGAGCACACTTCTGACTCATGAACAGATCATCTATCTCCGAAACGCCAAAGCTATGCAGTCTGTTCAAGTAACAGTCAAAGAGCAAATTCCGAAGTCGACTGATGAGAAAATCAAGGTAATATCGATCCTATTGTAAGATAAATGCCTACAAATATAAGATAGTTGTTCTTGAGGTATCCATCGTCTCTCCAGAAATTCGTGCGAAAAATAGCGAAGCAAAGCTGAACAAAGACCACAACTTGGAATGGACGGTCGTCCTGGTTCCAGGCCAACAAAAAGATCTTCGTATAAAGTACACTGTAGAACATCCGGCTTCAGAATCCCTATCGTTCAAACTTGCTGCACAGTAAGCTTAGGTAGTATGCGGTTTATGTCTAGCTAGAGTATTTATGCATATTTTGAGTAGGCTGTGCTAACAGATAAGCGAGCTACTTTTTTTCCGACAGTGAAAGCCTCGGGTGACGACGAAAGGACTCGTTAGGCTTACGGGGCGCGGCTACTCTCAAATTAGCTAGATGTCTCGTTTCGGCGCTTGTCTGTCCTCTCTCTCCCACACAGTGTGAAAAATGCTTAGATGAGGAGACGGAAGATGCTTTTGCCTGTTATCTCATAAGGCTTCTCGGTTTCTGATTGAAAATGGTTGTGTTTTGATAACCGTTGAGTTAGTTTTGCTCTACCTGAAGCTATCTTGAAACTTGCTCTGCCCACCTCAATCAAAACGATTGGGCGCTCCTAGTAATATGCTACAAATGCCCGGAAAGGCTCTCCGTGCGTGACCGCTGCTAGCGAGTCTTTTCTCCCATTTCTTTTGAGCGCATTCAATAAATAAATAAATTAATAAATAAATACGACCATAAACTTGATTTTTCTGGACAGGAAGGTTTTGAAGCAGTCTTCTTCTGAGGCTACCGCAACATGGGGAGCGCCGGCATAAGTCTGGTTCATCCTTACCTTGACATATCCGTTGAGTAAAATGAGCTGAAGACGGCTAGCGTTTTCTAGGCTGGTCGTCATTGTAGTATGGAAAATCTAAAAGTACTGCCGAGAGGAATAAAGCACTCCGTTGAAGCCCTAATTTTTCAACGCAGTGCCTGATATACATAGGTAGAGTGGAGTAGGCATGACACGAGTTCTCATCTGAGTTGTCAAGCAGCTGGACAACTCAGTAGATGATTTCCATCGCTGTTGCTCTGCTTTTTTCCCCGACTACCACGACCTATCAGGTTCTCTGAAGCCTTCTGCTCAGAAATTCTGAGGTTTAAATTACAATTCACTACAGCTCGTAATAATGGAACTTATCACTCATGATAGTAATGGTAAGTTCCCATCGCAACAGATAATACCGGTTATGGGTCCTATGAATACTTTTTTCCGCTTTATGCACTATCCTAGTTCCAGCGCATCGTCAGGATGTCCCCCTCCCTGTGTACCCCACGAAGCATCATCACAGGGGTTTCTGCAGAAACGTTAGACCATTTCTTAACCAGAATGCTCACTACAACAAGCAGATTTTGTTAGTTGNAGTGAAGTTCTAATGAGTAGTGATGGCAATGTAAAGCCACAGGATATCAGACAATTCGTGGAATTTTTGCTAAAAACATTTCCCAGTTTTTTTTGTTTATTTTAGATTTCGTTTGTTTACTACGTTTTTGTAATGACAGTTTGCCAGAATTAATTGTAAGACTATCAATACAAGACTTCTTAAATTGTATTGTAAGTTCAGTGTTTGAAAGCAGGTTCTTGTCATGACCATACTATACATCTCAATTTTTCTATATATGTGTGCTTTATTAAGATATTTGTTTAAAAATATTGCATTTTTTTCTGAATATATTGGCTCGAAGAATAAATGATGACGGTTTTGACTGGTATGTATGTTTGCTTCGGCCTTTCCAAGATTACCATTTTGACGATGTGCATCTTCTCCCTGTAAGGGCTGCTGATAGTGTTCCAACGCCTGGAAGAAAAACATCGATTGCTCTTCATTTTTATTTTCCGAAAGAGAGAACTCATAATTGTAAGGAAAAACGAAAAATCACCAACTACTGACTTCCGCTTGATATTTCTGCTGCTGTTTTTCGCTTCATTCTCCGATGAGGTAGTCAATTCGAGGTTTCCGATTTACAGATGCGAAACTTCGGCCTTGACGGATTTCAAACACGCAGTTCTGTTTTCCGGCGGAGTTGGTGTTGTAGCAAGTGACGCACTCGCACCACGTATGGTCCAGGGATCGAATTCCGAATCGATATTTCGATATTGGGTATAGACAACCCTTTTATCTCTCCGGGCTCGATTAAGCGTTACCAGACTTGTCTGGGTGAATACTAACAGTGGCTTGCACATACATCGTTGCCATCGGAAGTCATCGTATAGACCGCATGCGCATCCAAAGCTACTATGGTCTCAAGTTTTGTAAGACAACAATCTGCAATATCTCTGAATATACTATCAAAACCGTGAAGTGTGGCTTGAAATCAAAAACCTGAGTAATCTTCATCTGCATAACGTTACTCTGTTTCTGGTTCCGCAGTAAAACAGCCCATCTTATTTATCCATACGTGGACGTCAACACAGCATGACACACTTCTTATCACCTGCGCCTATCGATCCGTACAATGTCAACAGAAGGTAAGAGGTTATTTCTTGTTAATGGCCTGTTTCGGATCATTAGAAAATGTGAATTTAAAGGCTCAGTGCACTATGAAGATTTCCCTAAGATTCCTCCTCTATATGAGCATGTAACCCACACAGATAGCCCAAGGCACGCTGTCGGGTCGGAAAATGGCCTAGTCGGGGCGTAATAAGGGCCCCAGCTGACGTACATACCCAAAGGCGGACGAGTTGTCACTGCGTTGTACAGGCTGTAGAATTCGCACCATTGGCACCAGGATGCCTATGTTGCACGCTGACAGCTCACTGTTGCCACCTGCCATCGATGGCATCCACATTTGGACAACTCGTCCAAATAACCTATTATGCAACTTTCGTCGTCACTTTCTCGTCTAATTCCTAATTTTACTATTTTTCTGAAGTCATATTGCTCTCTAGGTAGAATTCACGCGTTTTCTTCTTCTGACTATTCTGAACTATCGCTTCCATGATTCGTTTAAATCTATATATATCGGAAATATCGTGATTTCTGCCTTCAAGTAGAGAAACACAAAGTGGTTGCTGATAACGGTTGACTGTCCTGCAGCTGAAGATTCTTAGAAGCAACCGGCTCTATCTATCAAGACCAAATTATTCATTGAATTGGCAAAAGACGTACCTGATGAATTGCATCATAATACAAGTGAATCATTCACTCAGAACACCTTACAGTGAGGGTCCACTATAACGTTTGCCTCATTTTACCTATCATATGTGTGCAAACTATTTTTTTCCCAAAAGGGTTCAAAGCTTACTAGTATGAACAAAATTGTGGCTATGTCACCTCATTAATAAGATTAGCCGAATTCCAAAAAAGACAGCTTCCATCTGACTGTTACCAGTGCTACATATACATACCATCTTTTGCACATGTGACAAATTTTGTGACAATTTCGGCATTCGTTGCAGCTTTTTACAATAATTTTTTGCAATTTTCTAATTTTTTGCAGAATAGTATAATAGGTTTCGCTTACGTTAGAAATGAAAACACTTTCATAGCTCACTTGTGGGAGCCGATTTATTGCCACGTTGCAGTTGCAGCGTTGGCACAAACTCAAGGAGCATTTTTGTCATATCAATTGAGATTTCCTGGAATAAGAGTTGTTTTACAACNTTACATTAGGAATGAAAGCACTTTCATAGCTCACTTGTGGGAGCCGATTTATTGCCACGTTGCAGTTGCAGCGTTGGCACAAACTCAAGGAGCATTTTTGTCATATCAATTGAGATTTCCTGGAATAAGAGTTGTTTTACAACTGTTTACCAACCCGTACGGCTATTTATTCTTAATTAAGCTGTACAGTTTGTATCTGTAAAATAAATGCTGCAGCGACGTCAATAAACATGCGGTACTGGATCTCGATACGCCTATTATTTCGGCTCCTCGAATGTACTGCATTGTAGATTTCAGTGAACGTACGCCTCAACGATGGAATTCTTTTTATCGGAATCAATCGCCCTGACAAACGGAACTGTGTGAATCGGAAAACTGCGCAACTGCTGGTTGACGCAATCAAACGTCTAAATGATGATCCACTGGTAAAAATCGGAATTCTCTATGGCGAAGGTTGTGTTCCATTTCTTGAAAATATTTTGATGATTCAAAAGTCTATAATGTCAGTGCTTCAAAGGCACTGTTCACGAAAAAGTGGTTTCGGAGATTTGCACATGGTTTGAATTCGAAGCCCCCTCTGATACCATTTGTGCAGGAATGAGGTCGGAAATGGTCTGGATAGGGCACAATAAGGGCAGGAACAGTGGGGGATGGGAGGCCTCCGCCCCTCGCTAGGCTGACTACGAGTTCTAATTGTCCTTCACCTTATTCGCACTGGAGCGAAGTTGGTGAAAAATCGATACGCTGATTGGCAAATTGCCAGAGACGCAATGTGTTGTCTGCTATTGCAGACAACACATGGCGTCGCCTTCGTGCACTCGCCCGAACACTCCTTAACCGCCGTTCTTTCAATGTGAAACTCGTCGAACCCCCCTTTCCAGCTCTTTTTTTGACCCTTTGTAATTCTTTTTGTCCATCATTTTTTGCGCTTTTTCGTTATTATCGCTTTATTCTAGAGTAGTTCTAACAATTCCCGTCAAAAATGGGTACCCTAACTTTTTTAAGAACGATGCCTTTAACACATTGTGAATGGCATCAATTTGCAAGGGTGGCGGTACTTCTCCCTAGATTCCCATGGCAAGCGGCATAGGTCCCGCGGCGATCACCGTATCCTTCTATTGATTCAAACCTAACCCTCAGGGCGCGCGATCGGGTGTGACGAGCGCGACGAGATGTTCGGAGGAAATGTACCTGACCCATTCAACTCAGTGATCACTTGGTGGCGTAATCTGCTAAAAATTCACATAACTGCAAATTTTTTAGGGGAACACTTTTGTGCTGGTTATGACTTATCGGAAGTGAGCGATTTCGAGAAAACACGACTGGAGGCGTCCACCTCTAAGAATTTCCGTTACATGGTCAGGTTGATGGCATTTTTAATTTGAGAATTTGTTTACGAAAGCCATGTCATGCCGATATTTTCTATACGTTCAAACGTCTACAACGTCAAATTTTCGCGAAAATTGCATTTAAATCCCTCATTTTCTATTACGATGAAAAATATTGCGATGACTTCCAGGGTCCTTCGATTATGAACTTGGAAAAACCCCTGATTGCCGCTATCGAGGGTTATGCTGTGGCCGGTGGACTAGAGTTGGCTCTCATGGGTAACATCAGCTCAGTCTTTCAATTTTCCCTCATAATGTCTTCATAACTGTTACAGAACAGCCATCAGATAATAAAATATCATTGAAATTCAAGTTAATTACTACTAAATTCGTTTAGCTGATATCAGGGTATGTGGACGCACAGCAACCTTTGGTGTCTTCTGCAGACGAGTGGGTGTCCCACTCATTGATGGAGGGACCGTCCGTCTTCCTCGGGTCATTGGGTTGGGCAGGTAATATGTTATCACAATCATTTTTATTTATCTTATAAATGCTGCTTTTGCATAAATTCACTGATTCGTCTCGACTCAGAAAAATTAACTCCGCCATGTGAATTGACTGTGCCGGGTAAGCGGGGCTGCTACCAAGTACATTGTCAGTGGAAGCTAGGACCCACCTGTCTCTTTTTTTGAAATGAAATCTGGGAGAGAAGTATTTGCTCCCTGGTGAACCCGTAAGAGGCACTGATCATCAGTACGGAATTTAATTCTCTCTAATTTCCATCCAACTACACCATGACTGGCATCGCATCTCTTCTTCAAATATCAGAAGGTACTTCTCATTAGATATCAATCCGATTTTGAAATTGATACGTAATTCTAGAGATAAAGGTGTAAAAGTATGTATATCATCCCGCCGCACTCCATCCCCTCGAGTCGAATTACTGTCTTTGCCCTCTGGTCGAAATGGTGCCCATTGTTGGTGCCTGTTGCATTGACTCAACCTTTGATGCGGTAGAGTCCTGGCGGTTCGTTTAGCCGTTGACGCCGGAGCAAAGCAATGTGGGCAAAAATCGTAGGATCGCACCGCTTACGTAGGACAGTAAATTGGAAATGAACAACCGTCTGTGATATTTGAAGCGAACTTAAATACGAGTTGATCTTCCAGAGCACTCCATATGATATTAACAGGAGAGGCTGTTTCGTCTGAACAGGCTCTGCAGTGGGGACTTGTCACGAAAATCGTAGATGATGGCGAAGGTATGCTTCCCATAATTCATTCTTTTTCAGTCCACGCCCATGTTCCTGGTTTATATTAACCATTTTTCAAACTTTGCCACTGCCGTTGGCCACAAGGATGATAGATAAAGCTTTACAAATTACTGCTGTAATGAAACTTCCTAATTGAAGGAACCAGTATGCGGTGATGTATTAGGTCGTGAAGAAAGTTCTTGCGGTTTTACGCCTCAAACTTCAAATGCCTATATCTCGGCTTGAACGAAACTTCAACAATCGAAATAACAACCATTACTATCGACACACTTTTGTTAACGAAAAACAAGTTCGAGTATCCATTCGCATAGAAGTCCGGAAATCTAGAGACGATGAAATCGTCGAATGCCGCGGCAGCATCATGTTGGGTTTTGAAGCATTTCTCCTTGAGAAAGCGTCGAGACGTTTAAAGAAATGGTAGTCTATGGGAGCAAGGTCTGGAAAATATGGTGGATGCGGGAGAGCTTCATAGCCTAGCTCCATCA